GGAAAATGCAGGAGATACGGCTTGACCAGTGTCACTCTCTGAAATCAATATGAATCAGCTATTAATTTTATAGTTTTGTCGTTTCATCTGTGTCACATACAATCCCTCTGGTATTGTTATGGTTTATGCTGTAAGAATTTTCTCATGCGTGTTATGTCCGTGTGAGATGATTGTATGAGGGTGAATCACGTAGTTTCTTGGACCAATCATGTCACTTCGGGGGCGGTCTACAGTCACATCAGCCATTCTCTCTCTCTCTCAGTTCAGTGGCCTTGTCTCTCAGCACAAGTTCGTTGTGTTCCTGTCAAGCACATCTCTTCTTCTGCTTTCACTCTGTTGGCCTCATAAACCTTCCTATGGCCACTCGCTCACTTTCTGTTTGGAAGCATGGTTGACCATGTCAGTTTACAACACTATGCTCAAGTTTTGGAATATTCTTTGAATTATTTTACAGGACATCTTACAAAACCAAGAAATAGTTTTTCACTGATTGCTTCAAAGTGGAGAGCATGCAGAAATAATAGTTTCAATATGTTCAAAAAGTGAATGTGCATTGCGTATTCTTCTGCCGTTGATCAAGAAATTAAGGCAGAATCTGAAGCTATTGCCGGATACAAGCCTAGAAGCTGTGACCTTCCTTCCTTTTTACAAACTGGAATGGCTGGATTCCTTTTTCTTTGCTGCAATAGCCACCACTGCAAACAGAACTGACAATACTTTGATGGTAATTCCAACCCACCAAGTCATCTGACTACTGAATGTTTCTTAAAGCTGCCTATGGAGTCATATAACGCAGTCCGGACTTGCCTGAGAGCAGCCATGTGATAAGAACGCCCTCTCAAATTATCCAGTGACAACACAATCGATTTCAAATCTTTCTTGCGCAAAATGTAGAGGTCCATTAAATTTCCACTAATCCGACTTTGACTTATGTGCAAATATTTGCAAAAACACTATACATTCAGTCAAAAAATTATTATGTGTTTGCCCACAGACAACTAAATGATTAGTTCTTTAACAGTATTTTTGTAACTTTACTGTTATGTTACATTTTGAGACCTGAAAATTTGTTTGTAGCTTTTTTTTCACTCAGCTTTTATAACCTCAACGGCCACTTTAGTAGGGACATGCTTCCAGCTGCTCACTAACAATAATTTCTGAACGGCCAATCACACGGCTGCAACTCAATGCATTTAGGCATGTAGACATGGTCAGAATTATCTGCTGCAGTTCAAACAGAGAACCAGAATGAAAAGAAAGGTGATTAAAGTGATTGAACTTGGCGTGGTTGTTGCTACCAGACAGACTGGTCCTAGTATTTAAGAAATGGTTGATCTACTGGTGTTATCAGGCACAACCATCTCTAGGATTTACGGAGAAAGGATCGGAACAGAGAAAATATCCAGTGAGTTGCAGAGCCTTGTTGATGTCACAGGATAATGGCATAGAAAGGCAACAATAACCACTCATTACAATCAAGGTCGGCAGAAGAGCATCTCCTTGAGATGGATGGGCTACAGCAGCAGAAGACCACACCAGGTGGCACTCCAGTCAGCTAAGATGCTAGGGTCAGAATTTGGCATCAACAATATGAAAGCATAGATCCATCCTGCCTTGTATCAACAGTTCAGGCTGGTGGTGGTGGTGTAATGGTGTGGGAGATATTTTCTTGGCACACTTAGGCCCCATTGGTACCAATTGTATCGTATCAAAGCCTACCTGAGTATTGTTGCTGGCCATGTTGATTACTTCATGACTACATCGTCATGGCAACTACCAACAGGATAACATGCCATAGGGGCAAATTTAGTATCGTAAGGCATACCTAATACGTTTAAATGAGTTCATGTAAAAAAAAAAGTTTTGACTTCTCAATTCATGACCAATTGAATTGTGGTCTTATTTCAACAGTGTTTGGGGAAATGACGAAAAATGGTGCTGACAGTGGTGTCGGTTTGTTCTCTGCAATTCTGTCTAAAGGCATGCAGTGTGAAATCCTCTGTCGCTAATCTATCAGAGTGCAGAGTGAATTTAGCATTGATTGAATGCTGCCCCTCAGACCCTCAACTTGTGGTTAGATAAACAGCACACTAGGTCATTTAAAAACCTGGTAAAAAAATAATCGTAGAGCCTCTAAATCAATAACCTGTCACAAGAGAGTATAGCATTATTAATATAAAGATAAAAACAAGAGAATACACGATAAAATCAACCGTAAAAAGCAGACAAACAATTGAGAAAGAGATGATATTAATGGATCTGCATTAATGTGAGTGAAATACGTAAATGACCCACAAAACATGGGTTAGTGCCTGGTGAAAAACAATGTTTGTTCTTGTCTAAGTTGAGGCTGATCAACGCAACTCAAACCTTAAGCTCCCTCCATAACTCGCCACCCCTGCCGTGATTTCAATCGAGGATTTCAAAACGTTAACTTTTTAAAAGTTTGGTATTTGAAAATACTTATACTAATAAGTGAATAATAATATTTAGTGAAACAATGTGTTTGATGAACAAAATGCTTTTAAGCTTGCTAATGCTAACTGATCTGAAGTTTACGGATGTTAACATCAGCAAGAAACTTGTAATAACTTAAAAGTTCTGCTGAATTTTAAAGACACCCAACACAGCAGTGTTCTGTGCCGTTCTGACACAGTCTATGAAATGTAAAAACTGTTTGTTTTGAACATATTCTAGATCGGAAACAGGTGACATTAAACTTAAGTAAGTGCATCACAAGGTTCAGTGCAACCCAACCAATGTTTTCAAATGGATTTTACTGGACTTTACTGGTTCATTGTTTTCCTGTCTCTCACTGTTGAAATAAATATGAAGGAGATCAATGAATTCTTTCCTGACTAGTATTTGATTAGGAAAAGATACATGACTGTCATCGAAACCTAATATAGTACACCCATACTGCAAAAGAAAATGAAAAGATGACAGGGTGATCCTTCATTGTCTGGCATGATGTCATCCAGAAAACAGGAGGTGGATTATTAAGAGTGGGGCAAAGAGGAACTGAGGTCACTCCCTTCCTGTGTCTGCCTGGAACTAGCGTCCTATTCCTGAGCAAGAGGCGAGGGAGCAAAAAGACAAGGCAGTTAACTTTTGGACTACTTGAGTCACACTCTTTTAATGTATTCCCTTGTGAATGAAAGAACAGAGGGACGTGTGTGTCTTTCAACAGCAGCTGTGCAGGGAACAAGCCTTGCATCCACACCATCCCTCTCTTTCTTTCCCGTGCTTTTCCAGACACTTGGCTGCTTTAATAGCCATGACACATTGGCCATCTAAAAAGCATTCCTCCATGCATCCAGAAGCTGTCTTTGCCAGCAGCACATTATTACTCGAGGAGGCAACTGAAGGAACAGCTTGTGTTTTCACTCCCACACCGAAGAACATGCTGGAATATTTTTTTTTTTAAATATTATTGAATTATTTCCATATCAATCACAGCTTAATTGACGGCTAAAAACCCTTTAATAATAAGCATAATGCTAAATCTAATTGCTAAAGCTGTAGTCAGACAACACACATTTCTTTTATGAGACTGCCCACATTGCTGCTTTATGAAAAACGACTCTTTAATGATGTAAAAATACAAAAAATTAAATTGCTGAAATCCTAGTATCACCATAACTGTACTTCCTACTACTCTCAAATGGGATTTTCCAGAAAGAGACATTTATTTGAATGTCACATCTATTTGATTCAAATTTAGAGCAAGACTAAGGGCAAATTTTCAGTCTGAAGTTTCAAGCTACAGCGCACCTCGATTGAAAACCATGGGAGCCAACAGGGCATTACACATCTGACCGAACAAATGACGCAAACCAAAATTGGATATATGGTGCCAAATGATGCCATATTGGATCAGTTTATTTTTCCTTTTAGTTCTGTTCATTTGGGTAGCCTAGAAAGCAACAACTGAACTAAAAATCATACCAAAAGCAGACTAAAATTGGTCCGAGACCCACTCGAGGAGGTGGTCTCAGTATGAATGCAAATTAACTCTAGATTGGTTCATATGTGGTAAGAACATGAAGAAACTCTCATCCGAACTAAACACATGCTTTTTGAACAAATACAGCCACCATACTCGCTTACAAATACAGCCACCAGCAGAACATTCCGTGAATTATTAAGTCTAGTGGTTACTGTCTCAGAATGCCAAAAATCCCAGTCTCATTTACATTTGATGGAATATCTCCTCAACACTAAATGAAACAAAAAAAAATATTTTCTTAGTCTAAATATCCACATTGGATTTTATCCACAGACAAAGGTCAACCAAATTATGGGGATATTCCCCTGGAAAACATGTCTCTCATTCGCGGGATCTTCAAGTCTAGCACTCACCCTGATGTCATTACGTCGCACTTCTACATCACAGACCGCATGGCCATGGCTGGGCGCACACCGGGAGAAGCAGCAGTACTTGCAGACCGCCACCTGCTCCACGTCGCAGTGGTAGAGTCTGTACTCATCGTGGTGAGGGCAACTCCAGGCCCGGACCTCCTCTACCGCTACCAGCAGGTGCTGATGCCCAGGTGCCGGACAGGGCTGCTGCAAGTGTGTCTGGATGTGAGATTGGCAGCACGGTGCATTGCAGCGGAGACACACTTTCTGTGCAAGAAGTGGGGGTCCCCTACGGCAAAGGATGCAGTGCAGTGGGGTTGGGGCTTTCTCAGCATTCAGTGCATTGAACTTCTCTACTATGTTGTTGAGTTTGATGTTTTTCTCTAGACTGGGCTTCTGGTTGTATGCATGATTGCACTCAGGGCAACGCACGCCGGCAGCTTCCTTCGCCCAAGCCTCACTGATACAGCCCCGGCAGAAGTTGTGCTTGCAGGGCAGCTGCACAGACTCTACGAAAACATGGAGGCAGATAGGGCAGATAAGCTCCTCCTCAAAGCAGTTCCTCCAGCTCTCCGTCATCTCGGACAGTTGATCAGACATCCTGGCTAGATCCTAGAAGCTTACTTGTGGTTAGTAGCGTTCCTGTGGATCAGTCAGTAAAACATTGCTCTAGCAACGCAGAGATTGTGGGATCGAATCCCATGGGGAAGAAAGAACTGACCAAATAAGTTCATTACTTGAAATGTAAGTCACTTCAGCATCTGCCAAAAGCATAAATATAAGATTCGACTCGTGGAAGGAAATCAACCAAAGTTGACCAAACAAGGCAGAAAGTTGTTTTAATTAGAGACACTTGTTTTATTCAGAGCAATTTGATTTGTGGCTATCCAAATGACAATGAAAATGGCTCCAATTACTATTTTGGTTATTATTGATTAGTTGCTATATATTACGTTTCTAAATTATCCCATCAAAATGTCTTTCGCAATATATACATAATTTTTGAAGCGCGCATGCGCGAGGGGCAGCAGCCAGTTTCAGTTACTCAGTTTTTCCTCAAGATTAATCTAAGGAATCCTTATTGATATTCTCTTCTAGATGCCAAATAACTAATACAATGCGTCATTGAATGGTAATAACATCTATTAAACCTAGAAAACGAGTAATAATTTAAGTTTCGGCCAGACCAACGGTCTGTCGGCGAGTAGGCTAAACTACGGTTTAACGGTCAAAAACTAACCGTCAAACGAGACACAATCCGACAAGAGAAAAGGGCTTAACGTATGAGGTATTCCGTCGTTTGATAACTTTAAAACAAGCAAATGATGACGCCAAAACTTCCTAATTGACGTTTCCCGAAGCAGACGATCGCGGTTTTGATGTGAGGCCGAGGCACATGACAGTTGCCCCGGTGAAATGCTCAAAAAGTCGCTCTGAAGCCCGGGGCAAAGTCTGTCTCTCGCGGCTCCCAGGAAGCCTAACGTTAAACACTGTTTATTTGTTAGCGTGACGCGACTTTGAATGAACGCACTATTGACGGGCAAGAATGCGAGCCAGTGGGCTCTTTGTGGCATTAAACGCGATTTTATCGATGTCAAATCTACTCTCTTGCTATCTGTGCTGGTTAAACATTATAAACCGATCAACGCGACCTCGCTCCATGTTTTACGCTTCCTATCGCTTTAACTAGACCGAATGATGTTGTTATACAGTCAAATGTCATGTATTTGATTTTGACTAAGAGAACTCGTCTGAAATATTAATGCATTAAAGCTTTGTAGCCCTTAAAAGAGACGATATCGTTTGGCCGCCGTTATCGCTCATCAGCCATCTTGTTTTTCTGGTTAACTGGAATTAATAACGACGCATCTATTTACTTTTCCTCTAATTTGTACGCCGTTTAAATGGCCATTTCAAGGAAAGCGAAAATATACAATCCTTCGTCTGTTCCAGAGTTGTCTCGTCCTTCAAAACGATCTTCCAGATTGAAACCATATGCTTCAGCGGCGTATTCCCATCTGCGTCTGTTATTATTTATGATTTTTCGCTCTCCTTTCAGGCAAATCCTAGATGAGAGGAATGCAGGCACAATACTGCAACTCGGGATACTGTTCACATACTCCCCCCTAGCAACGTCACGTGACTACCGCGGACTGGATAGATTGCAGTGGGAGGAGTTATTAAAACAGGCGGGGTTTAATTTAAAGGGGCACATATCTATTTTGCCCTTTCTAAATATAATTTGCTAATGAGCTATTTCACCAAATTGGTGGCATTTGTTTGTTATTACCTCCAGATGGGTATTGGTCCCATGTTTTTTTAGATGTTTAATAAACAGATTGGTGCCATTTTTTTCTCGTCACTAACCCTCTTGCTATTCTTTATAGCAGTAACATGACTGTTTTTAGTAAAGAATTAGCAACGTAGACATGACCATGAACCGGGAAATTAAAAAAATTCATCTATATCACCGAACATGTGCATTTTTACACTAAACTAATTAAATCTCTGAAATAATTTAAGTAACATAATAGTGTTTTTTAAACGACGTGCCAGGATATCACGACAATCATCAAAGATGTACACAAGAAATTGAGAGAACTTACCTTTGCTCTTCCTATGGTCATCTAAAGATCGAAGTGAGGCAACTCCCTGCTGAAAATTGGACTTGTAGAAATTCCCCAGTTTTTCGGGAGGGGGAGGGGTAGGGAAACAGGAATGAGTAAAAAGCTGAGAACAGGACTAAAATGCTTTTCTGTTATTGTTTTTGAAACAAACATATATGGATTTACATATCAATACAAAAAAAAGGTTCTTAATCATTATAATTGTAGTATGAGAACTCAAATAAACATAAGATTAGTTTTCACTTTGTTGCATTAAAAGTGATGAAAAAAAAGCAATCTTCATTACTTCAAACCTTTAAATCATTCTCTTGAATTCTTCTTGCATGATTATAAATGAAAGAACCAGAACATTTAGTACATATAACAATGGAAACAAAGACGAGGCGTAATGACAATCCTGTTCTGAGGCCCTTTACTCTCATATAAAACCTATGAGAATATAGACTGCTTTCGATCACTGCCTGATCCTATGTCTGGGTGAAACGGTGGCATATCCTCTTCTTGGTGGATGAGATGTCCCGCCTCCAGTTGAGTTGTTCATTTTGGAACCAATGGGCTTGTGACCCAAGAGAACGAGGCTGGCTGATAGTTGGGTATTGTTTTCTTTCTCTTACCTAGTGCTGTAAAGTGATTTGTATCATTTCACTACAGACTGCTTTGTTGATGCAGGTTTACTGCACGGTTTGGCAAGAAGTTGGATTTGTACAGACTGTTTTGTGATCCAGCATCAGCTCCAGAACGTGTGAGTACATTTGTTTTTAAAGAATATTTACACTAATGTACATAAGACGCCTCATTACACTTAAATGATTTTGATCAGATGTAAAAGTTAGAAACATAACCTTAGTTTGTTATAGACATTTCATAAATACATTACAGAATCGTTTCAACTAAAATAATTACTTAAACAAAATCGTTTCCCTTTAAGATGGGGCTAGATCTGATTAGTGGACAGTAAAGAACTAATAAGGCCTGCCCAGATGAAACGAGCTCACATGGGGAAATACTTGGACACTACCCAGAGAGAATTCTTGCATGCCACTTCTTAGATGGAACTCAGAACCATTCACCAAAGTAATAGTCAGGACCCGTTGGTAAAGTAAGAGCTGAATCCAATTGAGATCTTTGATACTTCTGATGTGAAGCAGCTAGTTTGAAACTATGGGTGGCACAGAGAAAATTATCTTGAACATGATGAAATATGTAAATAACTTTAATGCACTTGAGAGTAACAAAATCACAGGCAGTAAAGGAATGCACGTGAATATAAAAACCAGTACACAAAGATATTTCTCTTTACAATAGCTCCATTAGAGTTTGCATTCACACTTTGACCTAAAACACATCGATGCAAATAGACGTCAGTTCAGCAAAGGGTTCTTAAAAGACTTGGAATTAAATGGATCACAAAAAAAAAAAATGGTAATAAAAATTTAATTTCTGGACACTACTTCATGCTACTCGTTATTTCGTTTACACGTCAGGCTTCAAAAACACAATGTACACACTTTGGTTTGGTGAAATAGACATTGCAGTTGGGTTTCCTTCACAGGAAATGGGGAGTTGACGCTCAAGATTTCTCCAGACGTCTTAAGGCACCAGAGATTGTCTTCTGCTGCTAAAACGTAATTTGAGTGAGAAAGAGGGAATCACTGAACAAGTGGTGTTACTGTACAATAAGAAAAACTTCTGTGTTGTGTAGTAAACTAAAAATTTCTCTGGGAAACATTGTCAATGTCTGTGGGTAGTAATCGTGAACTAAAAGCTTCCAGATTCATTGCAGTGGGCTGTCAAACACAGTGTCTGGCAGAACGGAGATCTTTAGCTTCTTTTCAGGCCAGCTGTACTCCTTTGGAAGCTTACACTGGGTATTGAGAGATGTAAAGCTCGTTAAATGTTGACCAATCAAAAAGAATTATTGTAATGTAGCGTGTGGCTTACCATTCCACGAGTGCTCAAATCCATAACCTCTGCAAGCATCTGGTCTACAAACTCTTCTGTAAGTAATATCTAAATGAGAGAAATCAATTTTTTAGAAGGCAATTGAAGTAATATTCTCAGAATGTTCTTTGAATTATTTGTGTGATTAATATTTTAACGTTGTAGTGTCAAGCACATAATAAAAATGCCAACACTCAAAACCCTAAACACATTTTTTTTGTTAAACTGTGAATTGAATGATTAAACATAAATTGAAAGGGGATTTTATTGCTTTAAAGTGAAAAGAACACCAAACTCTGATATTGATATTCTGCTTATTTCAGTCAATATAATTAAATGCAAGCTTGTTTATTTTGTTATCATTATTCATAGATTTTTTCCATATTCTAAATCACTGTGTGTAAATCTGACAGGTTAAAGTTGGTTTTATTTTATTCTTGTTGTGTCTGCTGCACTCCGCAGTTAAACATCTAGTACTCCTCTATTAGATTATTATTAAATGTTAATTTCAATATCAACTGCTTGATAATCTGTCAACAGGGGACAGTCGTCGATTAACAGAGTTAACCAAATTGCAAGTCCATGGGTTTTTTTATTACATTTATTCATTTAACAGATGCTTTTGCCCAAAGTGACTTAAAATTTGGGAGAAAACTCAACAAGCAATTTGTAACAAGGTCGGTTAAACATAAAAAGATAAATCAAAGGTTCTAGCAGAGTTTTTTTTATGTATTCAAGAACTCTCGGAATAAAACTGTTTTAGTTTTTTTTCTGCTTTTCGGATTGGACCTGGAAGAGAATTCCACTATCCCTTGCACTTAAACATGACTGGAGCATGAGTAATGTGTCCGTTACCTGCAGCCATGGTCCATGAGCAGCGTACGGGTGCTCTTCTGTGGCAAAGGCCCCTTCCACTCCAGTGGAAACGAAAGTAATTGCTGTGTCTCCATTAATACTTTTGAATGTGAAATGTCGACCATGTAGCAAGCGACCTCTGGAAGTAAAGAATAGAGTCAATACAGCTGAACACTTAATTACTTTTTTCCCCATTGTGATGCTCGCTTTGAACTGCAGCAGATCATCTTTGCCTTTGTCTACATGCCTAAATGCATCGAGTTGCTTGGAAAATGACGTCAGGTGTACCTAATAAACTGGCCAGTGAGTGTAGGTTACACACATATGCTTGGTATAGATGTATACATTGGGATTAAGGTCAGCTAGATAAGGGAGACCTGGATGGTTAAGTGATTTGTGAGCTACAGCTGAATTCAACAATGCTGCAAACAGCCGTATGGATGAAATCAGCAGCTGAAACTGTACATAACCTAATGTTTACCCTCTACTCTCTCTCTCTCTCTCTCTGGACTTTACACAAAGGTTTTTCTATGAGCCTTGAACTGTGAAACGCTTAACCAAACAAGGAGATTACATAAAACCCATATCTCACTCTTCTAGTGCCAGCAAAATCAAAGCTGACCAAGCTTTTTGTTTGCAAAGCTCTGATATATGCAATATGAACAAAGTGCAAATTATTACACCAGTACTGCATGTTCTTTTACTCATCACTCCTGACTGGAACCCCCAACCCTGAGTGTTATAAGGTTTGCTCCTCACCTCATCAAAATCATTTTGGAGATAATTGTTCTGTAAATGTGGCTCATGTATGCTACAGTATGCATGTATTTACCGCTCTAGCACCTTTTCTTTCCAACAGTGGTAACCTGGTGTTACTCCTAGATAATGGGTTACCTTAGGCACATTGGGAGTAGAGTCCCTGACTCCTGGTTGAACTTCAAATGTACACTTTCAAGCTGTCGTGTTCTCACTAACTCGTGAGGGACGATTGCTGCCGAGCTCTCGCTCTCCAAACTGTCCTTGCGACTCCTAAGATATAAAAGAGGGGAAAATACAATCTAAACACACAAAAAACTTCAACCAATAGCTTACATTTCGAGTCCTTTTGGTATCTTTCTTGGAAGCAATATAATAGGTCGAAGGAAATCAAATGGAAGCAAATGAACCTTCACCTACTCTCTGTGAACAAATAAGTCAATGTTTCTTTTAAAAGATATAACAATTTATCTATATATATATTCTAGTTCTTTTTATTCGGGATCACATTTAAGCCTCTGTTTTGGGGTAGTTTTGTTTGCTCTCGTAGTTGGCTCTTACCTTGAGATCTGCTGCGTCTGGAAATGTCCAACTGATTGTCTACGGAGAAATTAGGGGCAGATTTGTACCAAAGAAAGAAAACTGAACAGCATTTACTACTACTCCCTACAGGTAAATCAACGACATCTTTTATGCATCCCCTAAGATTGTGGATAAAATCCAGTAAATCTGAATCTAGATCATTGAATCGCTGAAACCTTTGGATACAATCCAAATTTTTAGCATTACATTTTTTTTCCTATATTTTAATGGTTAAATTATTTGAAAGTTTTTTGCAAAAGTATTCACTCATCTTTCCTGTGGCTCAGTCAGTAGAGCATGGCGCTAACAACGCAACTGTCTTGGGTTCAAACTCCACCCAAGCCAAGGAAAGTAAGAACTGTGTCAATTCCTTGAAATGTAAGCCACTTTGGACTAACGCAACTGCCAAATGCATAAATGTGATCTCTCTTTGGATGCATGTGTCCTTAAAAGGAGACACTGCACTTTTTTTAAAGCCATTCTCAAAATCTGGCATATTCCATTTAGCTTAGCAAAGATCATTGAATCCAATTTAACCAGTAGCATTTCAGGGGAAAAAAGAGAATGCATGTCAGCATATCATGTTTCAATCCTGGCACTACACTTGCACAGGAAAAGGATGATGGGAGAGCATCTGTTGAGCCTCAGCTAGACACTATACACTCACTGGCTACTTTATTAGGTACAGCTTGCTAGTACCAGGTTGGACCTGTCTGCCTAAATCCTTCATGGCATAGATTCAAATAAGATACTTCAATAAGATTCAGGGAGTTTGGTTAATATTGACATTATAGCATTATGCAGTTGGTTGAAATTTGGTGACATTTAACCTCTTAAGCCCTAAGGCCTATTTTCCGAAAATCCTATATCTTCACTTTATAAGGCATTTCTCAGCTTTTACAAGGTCTAAACTGCAAATCTTGGTATCAAAATGAAGATGGGTTCTTGGGGGGTGGTGTGGATGAGTTAACTTCACAGTCAAGAACACTAGGTAAGAGTAATTGATGTTGAATTGGCCAAAAAATGAACTCTGCCAAAAAAAAAACACATGTTTCCTCTAATATCTCCTTATTTTACTTATAACGAAGCAAATAAACACAATCAATTGTAACCACTACATGTCAAGGACATCTGTAGCAAGTTTGGTGTCCATACTACAAGAAACTAATATTCTGTACAGGTTTTGATTGAACAAAGTTCAGGCGTAATCCATTTTGGCACAACAATTGAAATATGGAAAAAATCTTGTCCAAAGCTTCCGCTACGTTCATGATCTTTTCTTGCTTACGGGACATGACTTCAGCAGAAAACCTCCAAAAGAAACCCTGTAAAAGGGGGGTTGAAGCCCCTTTACGCTGTCTCCGTGCACCATGTGTAAGCTCCTATTTATGCCGCTTCCAACCTTGTAACTTCCCTGTGTGCCCACCCCTCGACCGTCTATCCAATCTGGGAGCTCTATACCTCGTTAGAAAGCTTTGAATCTGTAGAATCCAATGATATCCACCCTTTTGAGACTCCCCGACGAATCACAGGACACGGAGCGTGAAGAGGGCTGCTTTTACGCACGGGGAGTGTTTCCATATTTGGTCATGTTATTCTTAGAAAAGAGATAGGGAAGAGACCCAGAATGGAGTTTTCGCAAAGTTATCGACCGGATATAACAACAAACGGTCTTTTATCGATAACTTTTGTTGAAAACACGGCAAAGGTAAGACAAGATTTACAAGTTTGCTTTGTTTTTGCTGCCATTTTTTCGGGAAACTTTCGCTTCCTGCTCTAAAAGACTTCATGCAATGTAAATGAGTTGCATATCGCTGGATTCAGCTGGTTTTTATCTTTCATTTGATGCCATGGTTTTGGTGTTTCCGTTTATATTGTGGATACATATTGCACATAAACAAAAACTTGGTCACACTTCTGATACTTTGAAAAAAAAAAGTCACGATTGGTTTGTTTTTAAAACATATTATGTGCCCACCGTGGGATCTTTACTATTAACTTCAGTAAAACATGAGAAATGCCACTACAATACGGCAGGAAATACCACCCCGTGTCAACAAGCAATTTAAATCTTTTAATCATCCAGGTTGTGTGTCCATTGAAAATGATATGAACGAATCAAAGAGCGACTCAAAAGAACTGCTCTTCTCCACATCAAGCTCTCGACAAACACGATGCAGAAAAAGTTGTTCACTAGGAAGAGTAGTTCCTCATTAGTCACAATAAAGATTTGTTCTCTAAAAAAGGCTCATATCAATAGACGATTAATTTAGCAGCAGGAATTGAAAAAATAAACTGGGCACAACACAACTAATTCTCACATCACGTATTCGGTCGTCAAGGGATGACACGGTAACTAACATACACCCTATATATATAGTGTACAATTTGGCAAATTTTTTAGTGTACCTTGGGTCATGAACTCTATGACATCAGACACAAGGCAGGGTGGCTCCACGCTTTCATGTTGTTGACACCAAATTCTGATCCTACAATCCAAATGTTGCAGCAGAAATTGCGACTCATCAGACCAGGCAACGTTTTCCAGTCTTATTTGAAGTTTCAATCCGTGTAACAAAATGACATTGGTGAGTAGCCTTTACGATTAACTAAAGCATGTCGTTGCAATCCTAGTCGTAGAGGTTTAGGCTACGTATAAAATATTGTTTCACACCCAGCCACTTGACTTTTACAATTGTATAAAATTCTTGCAAAACTTTATATTGACTTGTTGCGCCATCTGCTGTGTTGAATGCAACTGGAAAAATCAGCCTGGATCGATTTATTAAGAAATACTGAATCGTGTATTTGTGAAACGCTCAAATTGACTTTTGTTTTCGTAATCGAAGCAGATTTTTATTTATTTATTTTTTTTTTGGCAAAAATGCTGGCGCAAAACAGACGGCAAAATAATTGTCATTGTTTAAAATGTATAGCTACTACTAACCAGGTGGTAGAATAAAGGCACTTTGACGTCCTGAGATAAACTCAACCTGCTGCTTCCAGAATTAAGGTCAGGTGACGAAGTACGCTGTGCATCTGCTTGAGCAGAGTAATCACACACTACCAAAGTTCTGATTGTCAGGACTTACTGTGGCCGGTCGTGGCTGTGCCTCTGACTGCTGATGGGAGGTAGAACAGACTTGCTGTTAATCTCCAGTCCTTTTCTCAGGGCTTCCCTAATCTGTTCTGTGTCTGAAAGAACACAGATATCAACAGAGATTGAATCCAATGCTTTGACTTGATCTCTGCTTGTCCTTAGCATGCCTTACCTTTGTCAGAGAGTCTACGTGGCTGTGACCCAATGCAAATGCTCCTGCTGTCGTCCTCGTCTTCAGGAGGTCGACTCAAGTCATCCCAGGCACACTTGGCGCTCACCCCACTCAGGTTAGAGCCATCCGCCTCGATGCCTTTATCCACTCGTTCCTGCTTGGGATGAGCAATCGGGACATACGCAAATCAACAGGAGATCATCAAGGCAAGACATATGTTCCTCGTGAACTGAGGGAGAGAGCAGGGAACTGACAGCAGGTGGGGGTGTTGAGTTAACTGCCCAGACTTAATTACAACTCCATCCCCTCTCTCCTGAAGCGTCACAGTGTGCAGCGTGAACATGACCTCAATCACCTCAGATGACACATGTATTACATATATTAGAGATGTACAGATCCCAGAGATCATAGGAAAAATCATAGGAAAGCTGAAGCTCGGTCTTGCATTGCTTTTTCCTGCAGACTTTTCTTTTACTTCCATTGCGTGAGCGGCTGTGTGTGCAGCTTGTGGTCCTGCTCCTCAGTGACGTGAGCAGCCCAACTAATTAATAACAAAATTGATTATTAGCAATTTTATAGATTAAATCTTGCAGCATAAATACCTATATGGGTCACTCCGTACTTGGCCGCAATGTCATTTTCTAATCACTTTCCACAATGTCTCATTCTCCAGATTTGTTTCTTCTCTGACACTAACACAGGACTTTCGTGTGCTTTTAGTCTGGACTTTGTCCAGGTCAGTCAAGTCCACTCACTTTGACTCATTTGGATGTATTTCAAAATTCTTAAAGGGGCCATATTATGCAAATTTGATGTTTCTGACATTCCTAGCATCTTCATGCTCATCAGAAATATGCCTCAAGTTTTATTCTGAATCTTTCATGAATGTTTGTATAACCCTGTATTCCTTTTTTGTGAGCTGAAAACGGCTCGGCAGGGGACGTGGCAAAAGCATGACTTGGAAAATGGGTTTTGCAGAGGTAAAAAAATAGCAGGTGGTAGAAAGTTATTAACAGAGCCGTGCTAATATAGAGGGCTCAAATATTTATTATAAAAGAGCACCTTTAAAGTCTTACTTTATCAAGTTTCCTGAAAAACAGTTTCTTTTCATCACATTTACCAAACAATGGTCTTGGTAAATGGTCTTGGTTTAACAATTAAACTTCTGACTCGGAGGTGTCTCTTTTTCAGAAGTGGATTCTTACTTGGTCAGCAATCTCAGAAGTGCACTCTTGTACAGGATTCTAGTGACCGTCTTTGTTGAGACATCAGTTCAAGACAGTTTCCTTTCCTTTTGAAATCTTTCACTTCCTGCCTCAGCTTGTCTTGTTCTCCACTGTGTTGGTCTCATTACACTTCTTGATGATGCTTCTCACAGCAGTTCTTCACATTGCTTGGATAAATGGATGTATCCATGTTCAGGAGCATTAACAATTCTTTCTCTCAAATCCAGACAAATCTCTTTTGTCTCTTTCACGATGACAGTGTATGTTATTTGATTAGATGTTTTACAAAATATTAATCATTGGCTTAAAGTGCAATGTGCATGTTTATCTAGTTTAATTAAAATAATTATTACCAAATCCTTGAACATTCAAAGGAATAATTTCAATAATGAAAACTGTACATAATAATTTCAATAATAAAAACCCTTGCTCTGTTAAAAATCACTTTAAAACTCTTTGAACAAAAATGGCTTCACAGGAGGTGGCTAATAATTTATACATGCACACGATTCTTAACAAAATGCACACTACAATAAACCTTACTTGCAAGTGTGGATCAATGTCAAATATGGATTCCCCTCTTCTCATGTCTGTTATTAACCACGGACCTCCAGCACTGAAAAAACATACTCCAAGTTAAAAGTTATGACCATTAAATAAGCAAATAATACTAAAATAATTTGACTCTTAATTATTTCTGCCAATGCACAAACACCAGTTTTATTTACAGCAAAATGCAATAAATCCAATCAAACCAATCCGTAATGCTCTTTTGATCAGGGTCAATTAGAAAGTTTCTGTTATAATGATTTAAATTACAGCTGTTTGACAATAATTACAGGGCTCTA